AAACGAAATTTGTCTCTGAATTCAAATCTGGAGGAATAATTGGCCTGCAACAGTAATTTAGTTAATTTTTTTCAAAACAGTTGTCAAAAATCGGTAAAAAAATATTTTCCCGCAAATAAATGCGTGTAATTATATCATTCTATATGTTTTCTTAGGTGCTGGATCCAAATATTACAGAAATTTGTGACAAGCAGCACGTTCAGTCTCGTATTAGTAAGCTACCTATGTGACCAAATCAGTGCCAACATGACCTGCAGCACGTTTTGCTATAAAAAATTATTACTTTAGCGCTGATTTTTTATTCGAGATCTTTATGCACACCGGTCCACCATGCCTGAGAACACGGATAGTTCAGTCAAAATAGAAAGTGATACTGTAACTCGAGAAATCACTGGGGCAGTGTACCAAGAAGAATCGAAATACCAAGAAGAACCAACGTCCATCGGTAAATCCAAGTTGAAGGGTGGTGCCATTTAATTGGACAGATGATACACCTGTGTTCAGTGAGACCTAGTTCTAAAATTTTCTCATATAATGACGCAAGCAAAATAATGGCGCAGGAACTATCCGACAACTGGATATTGAAGAACGTCTATCTGCTGTGTCAACAAGACATAGCCAAGAAGGTAAGAGCCAAAATACCAAACTTTCATGACTTTGGTTGAAAAATATAAAAATTCAAGTTACAAGAAAACAAGTCAATAAATACAGAAAGCTCAAGATTTCAACGTGCGTATGACAAGCAGAGACTACGACATCAGAACATATAAAATGGCATACCAACGGAAGTTATAAGAGTCATTCGGCGTTAAAATGGCAGATGATGACGAGGCATTATATTACAATAATTGAGTCTTGTTTAATAAACCGACAGTTTCACGGAAATAGAAAAAAAGGTGAAGAGAAACGAGGAATGACATCAGTCAAATGATAAAAAGCGTAAGGCTATAGAGGAAACGAGTAAACAGAAAAAGCATCCAAAAGTCTGCAGTATACATTAATGCTCTAAACACGGATGATGTTAGAAGAACTAACACTGTAGACCAAGATTGAGAGTTTGTTGTCGCACTTTCAATTATGCTTAAAACACCGTGTTTAAGTTATAGAAATAACCTTACTGGAGATATGTTTCCAAAGATTCCAGTAAGAACTAGTCGTAAATATTTTGGCAAACCTATTATAAGATGCGTAATTCAGTGCTTATGTAAAATCCGTATTTGGAATGTTTTTAAAAATTGATAGCATCAACTTTAGTCATTAATGGATAGTCAATTCAAATTGTCAGAATTGGATGAACCGGAAAAGAACACAGTCGCCAATAAGCTCAACAGATTAGATCACTATTAGAGTTCTTAAGTTTTCTCCCTCTGCAAGTACGATAGATAAATGTACTATAGATAAATAGATAAGAAGATGGGTTTTACATCAATCTCCAGATGCAATCAAATTATCTCCTCTATGAAGAAGCTAATGATGTTGCTGCCGTTGGCTTAGATAATACAACCAACGCTGCCGGCCAAGAGTTGTACTATATTAAGGCGGACCACATTAAAATCAGTGTCCAGACAGAGAGTAGAGAAGATTGACCACGGGCTATGTTATAAACACTTCTTATTTAAGATTTGGGGGTGCATTAGCCTACGAATTCAAAATGAGGTGTCTCGCAGTGTTGACGGATTCTACAGTGAATGAAATAAAAGGCGCTATAGATTTTTAAAGGTCAGATCGTTCGGATATTGTAGCATATTGTTAAAAGCTTAGATGTTCAGGACGAAAAGATTTTATAATTTTGATCGCATTTAATATTGATTAAGATATTTTGAGACACCAAGCTGAGAATAGGAGTTGGGCGCATCGTTGAGATATTGAAATAATTTGTAACTAGAAGAAAATCAAATCCAAGACTTTTTTAAAACGACAGTGGGCAAAAACTGCAACAAATTTGTATTAGCCGTATCAGTTTATATACAGAATGATTGTTTAATTCTCTTTTCAAAAGTTTGTTTCAAAGTAGGCAAGACGCTTTTTTTTCCAACAATGCAGTTACTTGAAATTTAAAAGAGACAAACCAAGAATTATTAAATATGATTCAAACCAAGACAAAACAGACAAACCAAGAATTATTAAATATGATTCAAGCTAGAGAGGTTTATGGTGTCACAAATGAAAGAAGCTAAAAGCAATACTGACTTAAACTGTTGCAGGGGAAAGTTTTTTGCTGCTATCTTGGCTGAAGTTATAGATACATTAATTTGACTGTTAAAAGGGATGGGCTTTTTCTATCCAGTCATTAATCCAGACTCTAATGATGTACAAAAAGACTCATACAGAACTGATATACAGAAAGTGTTGAAAGTAAGAGAACAGACCACAAATTGAGCACGCGTAACTGACAAATCTTAGATGTGAGTTGGAGTTTATAAAGATAATGGCATAAAATATGTGGTGAACTACATCAATAGAGACCATTTCAAGAAAGAATTTTGTGGCAACCATTGCGTACTTTCTGAGTTCAACTCAATTAGAAACACTTGATCAATGAAATATCGCACCTACGTCTGACGGTAGCGCCTGAAATCAAACAGCAACGACAAATAAAACTTGATTTTGGAAAATTCAAAATGGTGAATTTTAAAATTGACCAACTAGGATGTTCCATTCATTACGCAATAAAATCAGAAAATAAACTCTCGAACAACATTGATACACTACTCAGTTCAGTCTTTTGAAGAGTGATGACATGTGAATGTTTATTTGAATATTGTTTATTAAAATTGTCCGAGTTTATCATATTTATACAGATTGCATAATTCTGAATTCATTCAGTTAAATTACGAATCGAGTTACAAATCATCGATCAAATTTTATATTGACACCTCATCGTTTTTAACAGTAAAAATTCAAGATTATTGCGATTTTGGGCTTGTAATACTTTGTAAACAAATGCGGAATTGAATTCAGCAACCTCAAAACCTGTTTGTGGCTTCAGTATTTGAGGTTTTGAGGTAGAGACTATTTTTAACCACCAACTTGATATAAAAACACTTTTCTATACTAAATTGTCATACTGGCTACGATTTTTTTTTGAGAATCAAAATCTGGGTCTATCAGTACTACCTTTATATTATGTTTTGACTAGAGGGATAACAACCAAAACAAACTATCAATTTTAGAAATCAAGTAAAACGCATTTCGAAAAACGATAAGTTTGCACGGTCCAAAGACATTCAAGTTTTTTCAAAAAAATGCTTGATTAAACCAAAAGGTTTATAAACGCTAGTCTGATGAAACACTCCTTCCGTTTATCAAAAAACTAAAACTTGATATGTTTATTCTTTTGATGGAAAATTTATAGAAACAGAATGCATGAAGATTTTAAAAATGTTCTGGCTGATACTAAAAGACTCCTTTGACATGATGTACTAAGTACCACTGACCTGAAATGTAATGCTTAAGCATAAAATAAAATCAGCGTGAAAATTGTAAATATAAATTAATCTTACTACGTTAAACCCTGCTGTAGCTGTGGTTTAACGTAGTAAGATTAATTTATATTTAAATAACATTGCACTTTTAAAGTACAATATGAAAATAAATGTAAAAATAAAAATACAATTTGAAAATAAATGTTTAGCAAAATTTTGCCAAATATTATTTTCAAAATTTTGGCTGTAATATATTTCACATCCTAAATTTTTTAAATGAAATTCATAAAGGTTTCTGTCACTGTATCGTTGCTAAAACATCGTTTTGTTTTTGTAGTTAAAAGTTTTCGAATGCCCGGACAATTGGCTATGAAAAGTTTTATTTTACTACGGTTATGACAGCTTATTTCAATAATCTCAATAAGATATTGAAAGGACAAACAACACCATGATGATCTCTAGGCAAAGAGATTATCGTGGTAAAAATAGCAGTCGAAAAAATATCTTTTTCGATCGCTAAAACCGTTCCAAAGGTCAATAAAGCTTTATTTGAACTTTAGTTTTTAGATTTAAAATCGAAAAACAACTTTGCAACCTGAATTAGAAAACTTGGAAAGAAAAAAAGAAAAATTTTCAGCAGATCATAAATGGAAAAAAAATTTCATTGAATATCATAAAATGATAAGTTATTGATTTTCAATTTTTTATACTATAGTGTAAAATTTGATGCTATTGCATCAAAGCGGCTCTTGGTAAATTTTTTTAAATAAATGGTTCTCCGCTTAAAACAGGATTGCGACCCTTGCCTTAGACTATTTATAAATAACACTATTAAAAATTCATAATTGGTCTTTAATACATTTTAAATGGCTTTTGTTAGGTTATAACTGGTAAGCTAACGTGCTTCGCTATCATGGTAAGTTGGCCGAAAGGTATAAAATGGTGGCAAATTTAATTTACCCGAAATTTTCTTTTTTTTTAATTGAAAAAAAACATAATTTAAATTGTCGCAAGTTTGCTTTTATTATGAAACCCTTTAAATATTGTAAAAAACGCATCATATTTATTTAATTAATTTTTACTATTTACCCCAATTTTTTTTTTATTTTCAAAACAATTTAAAAAACAAAACATTATTATCGGCAATAAAAATACGCTATTCAACAGAAAAGTATTTGTTAAGGATCGGTTTGAATATATGGCCAACGTGCCGTATTCGTAATGGGTCAACCTTACCCGTCGTAATGTTTATAGCATAAACGTTTTTACTCTTAAACCATTAACCAATATTAATAAAGTTTTGCATTGAGCATATCTTATTAGATATTAAGGTTCAGCATATATTTAAGTCTCATTTGTATCAAAAAAGCAATTTTTTCTATAACCTTATGATAACATCGTTTCTTTATAACTTAGGTATTGTTGAAGCGTATTTCCCAAAAGCCTTAAGGTTGTTTTGTTAAAAGAACCCAAGATTTCAATTTTAAAATAGTTATATTATTTTATAAATATTATATTAATAATATATTAAGTTTATATTAAAAAAATGATTCCGTTTTTGATAAAAAAATATAATATGACTCTTAATTTAGTACAGAAAAAGTTTATACATATACAACATGTTAATTCATAGTATTATTAAACAATAAAATCATGAACAGCAATTTGAATAACTAACTTCGTTATTGATACCCAATAAAAATTCAGCGATGGCTGCACAATATGCCCCTGTAGGATAGTTAAACACGTTGTAAAAGTAAATACACTGTGTGGGTGAGGCTAAAGTATAAGGTGGGCATGGAGGAACGACACATACAACATCTAGTTCTATACCAATGCTACAGTTAGCAATCATATCAGCAGCTGTTTTAAAAGTTTTTGTGGCGCATGGAATAAATGAGTTTATAGTGAGCTCTTTGAAAGTGTCAGTATTTTGGTTTACGCCACTTGTAGGCGTTTTGTCTTCGAGTAAAGAAAACGGAACCAAAGTTAAGAAAACAATGATTGTGATACTTTTCTAGAAAGAAAAAAAAACAACAATTAACAATTTCTATTATTGGAAAAGAAAACAACAAAAAACAAATAATTATAGAGAGCTATGTTTAAAATTTTTAATGTAATTTCTTTTTCAAGTAATTCTTTTAACAAGATGTTGATAGTATAGCGCAAGTGATCAGTCTAAAGACGAGTTTCCACTCCGTTTTTTCACGGGAACGGGAAAGTGACGGAAAAAATAATCACGTGGGCATGCGTAGTATATGTTTTAATATGTCCAAAGGAAAACTACGCATGATCACGTGATTATTTTTCCCGTTCCCGTGAAAAAACGGATGAGTGGAAACGCACCTTCAGCCTTGTATCAACATACGCGGTGCTCGGTTTCTGTCAAATACCATTAATAAATTGTTTTTAATTATTAAAGTTTACAGAAATAATTTATAATGTAAAGATCACATTTTATTTATAATCTACAAATATGTTAACTGCATTATTAAAGTAGGGCAGGTCAATTTTGAAACTGAGTTATTGGACTGGTAGAAACGGGTGTATTATTGCAAGTTAAACTATCACTCTGAAGGAATTTTTGTATAATTACTTAGTTTTTGAGGAAAGCTAATTTTTCATGCATGTATAAAAACATTGTCGCTTAAAAAGTCTCAGTATTGAACACAATGCTTTGATAGAAAACATTTTTCAAACTTATTGATTTTGACATATTATTTAAGAAAAAAAAAAATATTATTTTTATTTTATATATAATCAAATAATAATATTTTATATTTTTGTGATAAGGTTTATTAAAATAAAGAAACTTTTAAATCTAAAATGACATATAAAGTAACAACTTAATTTTATTTTCTCCTAACATCATCTCAGCTAACAAACACGCGGTTGCTTGAATAACTCTTGTTAAATCAAAAATTAAAGTAATTAGGAAAGGATTGGTGAAAATTCACTTTTTTGTGTGTGTTTTAAGCTCAAAGGCTTGATTTAAAGAAGATGTATTTATTTCTCTATAACGTATCAGTCTGATTTGATGAAGTCGCCATCAAATGCTGAATTTAATTACGTGATTTTTATTTAAAAAAAAAACAATATTTTAGATTTACAATATTTAAAAAAACACCTAATTGATAATTTTAATAGAAAATATGGAAAATATATATTTTTCTAGGTGTTTTTTTAAAAAACACCTAATTGATAATTTTAATAGAAAATATAGAAAATAGATATTTTTCTAGGTGTTTTTTTAAAATATGTTTTAAAAATAACTTGTTTAAATCATAAGTCCTATTTTTTTGAAATCACCATAAGATTTCTTTTAAGACCCAGGTTGACTATATTTTGAACAAATTTTTTTTTCACATAAATAGGGCCCTGTCAGATTTTTGGGGCAGTTTCTTCAAAAATTAGTGCAAAATGAGAAGCTAAAATTTTCATAATACTTTTAATGGTATTAAATTGAACTCATCTTAACTAGTTCACTATTTCAAAATGGTGAAACCAATAATATATTCACTGGTATTTATGGTAAATATTATTAGTTAATTTCACGGAATGAAAACATTTTTTTGAGACGTGTTATTCTTTTTGTTTTAAACACGCAATAAAAAACCAAGCGTAACTTTTTTCTGAGTATTCATAGCCGGTTAAACTATAGTAACACTGCCCGCAATATACACGAGTTTTTGGTTTGCGCCTGGATCGTGTAAAACACGTCTCCATACAGGTTGTTTTTTTTTTTAAGAAAATAGAAGTCCCGGTTGAGTTGCCGGCTGGGTAAATTAATAAAAATTTTTTTTTTTGATTTTTTAACAATGTATAGTGAGCTAATATGTTGACAAAATGAAAAAGTTTTTAATTGTCTCATTTCTAAAACTTTTTTAACTTTTGCTTCTATATATATTAGGAAAAATTTATTGATATTTATTTTGTTTCTATATATATTAAGAGAAATGTTTTGATATTGCATTTATATTAAATCCCTTAGCTACGGGAACTCTCTGAGCATTTGAATAGTGAAATTTGAAAAATAATTATAATTATATAGGAGTAATTTTGGTGAGATCAACGTTGTGTAATACTTAAAATACATCTGTGTTGTTAACCCAACAAACTTTTTTTAATTGGATTTGCAGTGGACTTAAATAAGTATTTTAAGTGGTTCAATAGAATTTTACTTATTGATTACTTAGTAGACCATTAGTGGCAACAGCTCTAAATGGGCTTGTTGTTGAGTTCCCCAAAAAAACAAGAAATCTTTGTTACTTCAGATATATACGTGCTATTGTAATGGAAAACTCCTAGAAGTCTATGAAGACTTATTATCGAGTACCTCTTTAAAATGATTAAATAAAGTCTATTTCATTTCTTATATATCGTCAAAAGTGGTTAAACAATATACAGTCAACAATACACATAAATAATGTAAATGTTAAATTAGTAATGAATTTTGTTAAGTAATAGTGAATTCTTTTTTCACTGTGCAGTGGCGTAGCTATAAATCTGAAGTCCTCCTATTTCCTTCCCCCCTTTCTCCTTCTAATGTGACAAGTAGTCAGACCCCTTTTTTTTAAAAAAGTATGCAATTTTTTTATATCTACTAAATAAAACAAAACTAAGTATAAAAACAATATTTAATTCAAAATTTAAAAAAAAGAAACAGAAGTTGCATCTTAAATTAAGAACAGGTAAAAGTTTAACTACATTAAATGCTAATTTTTCTTGCTTTCTAATTGGCAAATTCCGAAATTATTATATCTAACTCTAATTTTTGTGCTTTTTTGTTCTTTATTGCCATAATTGAATATTATCTAAGACGTTCATGAGACATGTAACTTCTGATTTAGGAGTAGTGTTTATATGTGTGCGCTCTAGAGGGTAGAATGGGGTTTGCAAATAGCGTAATACGCTTTTTTACGCTAACAAATACTTATAAAATAAATAGATGTTTTTGAATAAATAAAAACATTTTTTTAAATAAAACCATCACAGTTAGTGGGGGGGGGGGGGGGAGAGTGTACTTACCCTTAAGTAAAGGGTCTATTTTTTTTTTTTTTTTTTTTTTTTTTGCGAACTTCAAAATTTCTTTTACTAAGGAACTTAAAATTAAAAAAAAAAGATTAAATTTAGCAATAAAAATAGAATAATTTGCAAACTTGACAAAAATGCTTTTAAAAAAGTCACATTGTTTTTACATATTCTCAACAATGTCACGTAACAAATCGCATCATCGGCCCATTTTATTTCGAATACAAGCAGGTTGATCTTTTTAATAAATATATTATAAGAAGAAACTTAATAAATAAATGGAAGTTATAGATTTTTAAAAAATATTTCACCTAAAAAGATGCAACCAATTAGTGTTTTTATCAGTTTAAACTATGAATTTAAAGGTGACAAAGAAGTGTATTTTAATTAGTCATTTCAAAAATCATTTGCAAAAAAAATATAAAATGAAAAAAAAAACTTTAAAAGACTATCAAGTATTTTTGTAACAGGAAAAAAAACTTTCAAAGTTTCCAAACTGGTGACGAGGTTTGTTTTGTACCTTATGGGTTGTGTTTGAGAGCAAGGTGTTAAAAAAAAAGCTTAAGTAATCACAAGTTAAAGAAAAGACTGTTATCTTAATAGGATTCAAAATATCGTTTTGATATTTTATAAACAAATAAATAAATTTAGCCTTTATTATTTAATTTTTAATTTAAATTAATATTGATCTAAATCAAACGTAGAGATTTCAGTCAAATATGTTTTCGACAACATGAGTTTGATTAGAATTACTTTTATTTATTTTTTTTTTTTTCTCAAAAGCAGTGGTTATGTTATCAAATACGTATTTGTGACGCTTGATACTTGCTTTAGAAGCGTGGTAATATTTGCAGGTTTTGCAAATTTTTGATCAATTTTGTATTGTGAAACTGATGGACAGTACAAATCAAAGAAAACTTTCGTTGAAATTTTGTATTGTGAAACTGATGGACAGTACAAATCAAAGAAAACTTTCGTTGAAATTTTAGAGCCTTTATAACTCGCCGCGCTATAGAAAAAAAGTTTTACGAATATTTTGTACTATTTTTAGCTCATGTATAAAAATTCCTTTAGCCACATGAGATATTAGAACTAGACCTGGTAAAAAAACTTTGAGGAAAGAATTTTTTCCAAGAGATTTGTCAAGGTTTAAAGCAATATCACACTTAACTATCATGGAATATCACACTTAACAATCATTCAAAATTATTAACTTTGTCTCACATGATTTACAACCCACATTAAATCTTGCTAAGTTATTAGTAAGAGATCAAGATATTTAGCACAAACTGAGTAGTTATCAATTATTTCTTATAACCAAGCTTGAGTATCTACATCTTTAGCTTTTAAGTTTACACCTTTTAAGTTTTTTTTTTCAGTCTAGATGGCTTTAGATGTGTCCCAAAATGATCTTGTGGTAAAACCAATCCTTCTAATTCTTAACTCATCATAATCGTCGCTGATCAACCCAGTTATATGCTGAACAGTGATGTTTACGAGTTCCTGTAAGATAGGAATCAAAACCCATTTAATAAATCTTTTAGTAGCAACATGGAAACCTTTGGGAAACCTTGGATTTTCGTCACCCATACATGCAACAACAAGGATAAATTTTACCTGACCTTTTAAACTAAAAATGTAAAGTCTAAAATTTTCTGCTGCAACTATGCTTCATAAGTCTAATACCATTATATGTTGGACCAGAGTATGACACTGCATCAGCGAACATAGCTGGGTCAATAATTTAAGCTGCATAAACTTGCAGTACAAGCTTATTTCTGAAAGTCATTAAAAAATCATGGTACTTGGTATTTAATAAGGGAGATGTGACAAATAATGATTCTACCAAATATATAATATTTTGATAGGCGCTCGGCCATAGCACCAAATATTTTTGAGAAATATGACCTGCTTTATTTAAGTGCATATGTTAATGTATGTTTAATATTTAGAGCGTTTTTGTTTCATTTTAATTAGACCATATTA